AGATGTAGCAAAGGGCTGCGGGCTTTCACGGTGCACACATTTTTCCTAAGTGGTTTACCAACACTTCCTCTGGCATCAGATTATCTAAAACCCCCTAATGGTCGAGGCTTACATTTGTTAGTATTTTCCACGGCGGATGATGGTAACAGGGGCAGATTGATGATGTATCTGAGTAGAGTAGAGTAGAGTTTTCGAGGCCTGTTTATAGCATTAACTGATCTTTTTGCAGGCCTTTTACAGATCACCAAACGGGGTGACAATTCGTTACTCGTCATATCAGCTCCTTAGAACTTCTCAACGAGTGCAACAGAAAAAGGAGCTCCCTGGCAACTTTCTAAATGTATTCCCTTTGATCATGAATGGCAGCTTATTAAGGTCTATCAGCTACATCATAAACAAGGCATGATTTTTAGACTGAGGCAGCATTGTCGGTAGGCGTTTGATCCTTAATAACCCCCCGGAGAGAAAGCTGCCCCGTTTCTTTCTGAACAAAACAACTTGACAAATCAAAAGAATCACAGCGTCTGTTATCGGAAAAGGAAATTTACTAATGCTGGGGGGTTATTCCTAAGTGCTGAAATATAAAATATCAACTCGGATATGAGAGCTGCTGTTTTAAAACAGTTTTTTTTTTTTTTGGCTCGACAAACGTCGGTCATCCACACAGATCACAGAGAGCCTGTCGGAGGAATTATGGCCGTGTGTTTAGGAGAAAAATGTCAAATTCTATTGAACTTTCATTTGTCACAATATAAAAGTTTCTGAATTGTATTATTTATAGGTAGCAAATCCCCCTATAAAATCACCATGACATCAGACTGGAATTTTTATTTATTCACTATGTACCCATCCATCCATTTCCCTCCGCTTAATTGGGGTTGGGTTGTGAGGGGCAGTAGCAGAGAGGCCCAGACCTCTCTCTCCCCAGCCACTTGGTCCAGCTCCTACAGGGAATCCCAAGGTGTTCCCTGGTCAACCGGGAAACATAGACCCTCCAGCGTGTCTTGGGTCTTCCTTTAGGTCTCCTTCTGATTGGACGTGCTCGGAAAACCTCACTAGGGAGGCATCCTAACCAGATGCCCAAGCCACATCGACTTGCTCCTCTTGAAGTGGAGGAGCAGCGGTTCTACTCCAAATCCTCCCAGATGACCGAGCCTCTCACCCCATCTCTAAGTGAGAGCCCAGACACCCTGCAGAGAAAACTCATTTCGGTCACTTGTATCCGCGATCTCGTTCTTTCGGTTAATAACCAAAGCTCGTGACCATAGAGCTCCGGGAGTTGACGTCACTTCTCCCGGCATGCAACAGTTCAAATCGAAACGGCACCATATTGGCAGGCAGAAGCCGGCAGCTGGACTATTTGTTATTGTCAGAAAACTCAATCAAACGGGAAATATGGTAGATTCCTGTTGTGCCCCAGGATGCAGAACAGACGCGGACGACATAAGGAATGAGTCATCTACAGGATTCCCCAAGATCCGGAGCGCCGCAAACGTTGGATCATTGTAATAAAACGCGCTAGTGACCGGGCGAAAATGAAGCTGTGGGATCCCGAGAGTAAAGGTTTTCGCTTATGCAGCGACCGCTTCATATCAGGTACTTAAACCAACGTTTCCTCAACTGTGTATGGTATTTATTTTAAATGCTTTTATTATGATTCTTAGTGGGCTTCCTAAACTTATTTTGGCGTGGCTTTTTCTGTCTTATTAGTCATAGCAACAAGTAAACATCACGTAAAACGTTGCCTCGTGATTTCTGCGTGCTGCCGTTTACGTGTTTTATGATCACAGCAATTAACCGGCTAAGCTGTGTTTCATTTTTAAGCAATGGTTGATCAATTGTCAGATCACACATAAAAAGCACTTTGGATTGCTATTATCTGTCTCACCGAGACTACTTACGTGTAAATCTGTTATTTGTCCGTCCATCCATCCATTTTCATCCGCGTATCCGGAGTCGGGTTGCGGGGGCAGTAGCGTGACTTCCCTCTCCCCAGCCGCTGGAGCCAGCTCCTCCGGGTAAATCCCAAGGGGTTCCCCGGTCAGGTCCGGTGTTGTGCCGGTAAGAAGCCCGCTCCGACAGCTTCTGGCGTTGGAGCGGGCAGTAGAGTCGAGAGTCCCAGACCTTCTCCCCAGCTCCTCCGGCCGGGGGAATCCCAAGGGGTTTCCCCGGCCAGGTCCGGTGTTGTGCCGGTAAGAAGTCCGCTCCGACAGCTTCTGGCGTTTTTAAAAAGTATCCCAGGGGCACGGTAAGGGTCGGAGATGTTTAGTCTATTTAATTTCTGACTATATAAAACTAGTTCTTCTGTTTTAAAGTGTGAAGTAAACTCCGACGAAGTAAAATCCACGCGGATCCCGTTCATGTTCATGGTTACATCCGTGTTTGTTTACCTTTTTTGCATGCCAAAATGGCGTCCACTAACTGAGAGTCACGTGGGGTCCGGAGCTCTATAGGTGAGGGTTGGAACGTAGATCCACCGGTAAATCGAGAATATTCTTCCAACTCAGATCTCCTTTCGCCTCGACAAACCTAACGCCCGCATCACTGCAGACGCAGCACCAATCTGCCTATTGATCCCTCCATCTTTCCCTCACTTGCAAACAAGAGCCCAACTTGAGGCAGGACCTCATCCTTGACCCAGAGGAAAAAATTCTACCCCTTTTGGACTCAAGAACACGGTCTCAGATTAATCCAACAATTTAATAAAACTCAGTCAACAGTTTAAATCTATTTTAGTTGTGAGTCTGTCAGAAATTATTTTAAGTAAAATTATAAATGTACAATTATAAATGCAAACTTTAATATCTTTGTAGACCTGGGTTATGACTTTATATTTTAGTGAACTACATGACAATAATAATTTATATTTGTATGAGTATAAAGGTCAGAAAGGACTTTTTTGGGTCCTCAGATTAACAAAAAATATGGAACTAAAATAAAAATAAAAAATACATGTACAAAATACAACGTTCCTGTTACAAAACAAGAAATACAAGTACGAATTGAGAATTACAAGTTAGAAAACTAAAGTTACAAGTTACGAATCCAAAGTTACAAGTTACAAATCCAAAGTTACATGTGATGAAACATGTTCGAAGTTACAAAACTTGGTACAAGTTACGCTGAATATTGTCCCAATCCTAGTTCCATAAAAAAAATAGCCTGTTAAATTTTCTTTGAATATTTTTCAAATCAAAACTAAATAGTCCTCATTTATATCAACAGTTCCAGTAAATAAAAAGTTAGTACAGCTGTTTTATTCTATTTTATTTCTAGTGAACACTTACAAACTAGTGGATTATTTCTTTATTTGAGGATTTTTAAAGTGTGATTTAATTATCAAGTTTAAAAACTATAATTACCATCAAACTGATTGTAGATGGCTTCCAAAATTGACCTTTGATAACAGAGAAATAAAAGCCGAATTTTTAGCTCATCAAAGTCTCCAATCTCTCCAAATTCAGACATTCATACACAAATCACTCTAAACACATTTCTAACACGGAGTTTTGCATTACGTGGTTATTTTGGTAGGAATGTCAATAATTCCTATTGGATTTGACCTCTGGGTACACTAGGGCTGCGGCATTTTGCTGATCTATGCGCTTGTAAAAACCCTTAAATGCAAATCTAACCACAGAGTAATGACTTTTAGTCGATAATTCTGTGTTGACTGCTCTAAAATTAAATGCGTCATTCACTTGTTTTTTCACTAAATGTGTAGCGGTCTAGGACGAAGGGAAACCTTGGGAGTCATGTTCTGTGGATTAAATCTCTTGCGCTCCAGTGGTTAGAAGCTTGTCAGAGAAGTGGGCAGTGGAAAATCACAGGATTATGAGTCTTGCTCATTAATATTCATGATATGCAAGCGACTCACCTCTGATTGGCTAAAAACGACTCTTCTGCAACGTAGGATTCTTGGCAACATTGATGTTTTATCTCCACAAACACAACTCTGAACATGTTCTGCCACGTTGCTGAATTGCTAACAGTTAGCTTCTACTATGAAAACGTGTGCTGCCCTCTCAATCCAGCCTTCTATAATTAGAAGTCAAGGTGGGCGGGACAATTATTTAAGAGTCTGGCTCTTTCTGACCTGGACGTTTCACCGGCAATTTCTTCTCTGTGGAAAATGCAAGCGATAGAAGCTGAAGACATTTTTCACGTTAGCATGCCAATGCAACTCAAGAGTGACCAATCACATTTCAAAAGGAATGAGTATTAAATCGATTATCAGTGAACTAGACCTTTAAAAAATTGTGAGCTACACTTTGGTCTTGACTACATTCAGATTAGCTCACCAGTCTTAAGATTAACACGCTTTCTCCAGAGGCCATTGGGGAAGCTATTAAATGGGTGAGATAAGAATTATTTATGAGACATTTCTGATAAATAAGTATTAAATACTTGGTATAGAAACAAACTATTTACTAAGAAATATTCTTTAAAATGCTGAGAATGTATTTATGTACTTTCCCCCTTAATCTGTAATCTTATCACAACACCCTTGTAGTATTGGTTTCTACTTAAAGAGCAAGTCACTCCAAATCAACATGTTTTTGCTGATAAACTATATAAATGAGTGTCTGATCGTGCTGTAGACAAATGTATTCAATAATTCGGCATTTTAGTTAAAATTCAAATATTCTGCCTAAAACTGTCTGCGATGTACCGTCGTCAGGTTAAAACTCTGCAATGCATTTGAATTTAAATCTGCCATCGCTATTGGCTAAGAGGTAAACTATGATGTTAGATGGTACATTATGATGTCACAATGTCGTGAGTGTGTGTATTTTTTTAGTGACTCCGCCCTCTCGGTCTGCTAGGCAACAGCATTTGTTGCATTTTTCAAACAGGAAGTGGGAGTTGAGTAAGAACCTGGTCGTGGGTGACTTGCTCTTTAAGGGTTTAGTGAATTAGTTAACTCCATACTGTGTTTACTACATTACTCAGACAATATGATTAGATTTATGCTTAAACAAAACAAATTTAAAAAGTGAAAATGTCAAAATAGGGTTTTATTTTTGTTAAGATTCAATATTCTAAATACAAATGTTGAAAATACATACAACCACATTAAAAGTCAATGCACAGTCTATCATACCCGATGAAAGTGGCATAACTTCACTTTTTATCTCTTTAAATAAAAAAATCTGGGAAATTCAGGACAGAAGTCTGAGAGGCAACAATCAATCACTGAGGCTGCAGCTTGCAGCGTTCCTGATGAGACAGGAGGTGGTTACCATCCTTCTTCGGGCTGCCTGCTGACTGTACCGCAGGGCTGATGAGCTACTGCTCCTCAGAGCACTCACGCAGAGGAGCAAACACACGAGTTGGCTGATGATGAACAAAATACAACACAAAAACAGCCCTGCAGTCAGGAGGCGCCCTCAGCAGAGTCCAGGCGAACAACATAATCCACAATAGTTTTCCTGGTCGTTAGCTGTGCGTCTGCTCCCATCTGTGTGTCTCAGTCTGTAGAACTGTCATCTGAGCTCTCCTCGCCCGCTGCCTTCCAATTTTTTCTCTTCTTCTTTTTAGAGTCCAGCTCCGAGTCCCAATCCTTGACAGAGTCGTGCTTTCGCTTTTTACGACTGTTAGTCCGTCTTTCACTGTTTTTCTCATCACCGCTGTCCCCTGAGCTGCTGCTGTCCTCGTCACCCCCTCTGGTTTTCACCACTTTCTTGTTTTTGTGTCGGCCCCTAGTACTTTTCTTCTTCCTTTGTTTGCGTCTCACATCACTTCTGTCATCGGAGCTGCAGTCGCTGTTCGAGGGCTCATCCTTCTTCCTCTTTCCATCGCCACTTTTCTTCTTCTTTTTCTTCTTTCGAGATGATTTTTTGGAGCGTTTGGACAAATACGCCTCAGTGTCAGACTTGGACTTTTTCATTTTGTGGCGCCCAGTCTTCCTGATGGCACCTCTTTTTTCACTGTGAAAGTAAGTGGACAACGTAAAAGTAGTCAAACAGATTTTAGCCGCAACAGAACACCTCGTCTGGTTAGAGTGTCAGCTTGTTTTGTTATCAAGTACCAGCTTTTCGAAAGCACAGTGATGAATCGAGTCTGAGAGATCCGAGTTGTGTTGTGTTTTTGCTTACTTGTCACTTTCAAACTCCTCAGGATAAAGCTCCTTGAAGCCACTGTGTCCCCATCTGCCATGTGAACACAAGACATGTGTGAACATTACAAAGCCTTCTATAATAGCAAAGGTGTGTGTGTGTGTGTAATGGCTTACAGAGCACAAAGAAAGAAAACTCAATTTGTTCATGCAATGTACCTGTCAGGATCCTTGGCCTCAAATTCATAGAGTTTGCGGGTCCAGTTTTGAGCTTCTCTGTTGTCGTGCTCCGAGACTCGCTCCTTGCTTCCACTCCTGTTTCTAGAGAGATCCGGCACGCGATCGCAGTGCATGCTTCCTCTGGAATATGAGCATTTTTCACACGTCAGCGAGCGATCATACAGCAACAGCTCAAAAAAAAAAAACTTCCCAATCCAAAGTTTTCCCCATTTTAGGAATTCTATTAGCCTGGCAAGCCAGACTAAATAAATGTATTATTCAGTCTGGCCACGCTCCATTGACGGCTCTCGGTTGTGGGGCGGGTTCTGCCGTTGTCTTTCAAATGATCTCCGCATTCCACTGGACAATGAATGCGACATACTCTTGTTTCACTCTGTTGCATCAACCCACCCACCAGGCACATAAGAGTGCCCTGATTGGCCCACAAAGCGGATTAAGCTCTGTGATTTGTTCACTAAGCAGATAGAGCACTATGAATGGCCCACCATTATGGACCAATCACAGCTCTTTATGTGTTTGAAACCCCTCTAGAGCTGTGATTGGCTAGCCAGAGTCCTGGTAGGAGCTGCTGAGGTTCCAATGGAGCATGCCTAGACCATTTTTTGCAAAGCAAGAATTTGGTCTAGTTCACTAGGCTGGAATTCTATATGAACTCTTTAGGAATCCGTTAATGTGATAGTCCTGCCCTTTACTGTGATTTAATGTAGGCAATACATCAGATTTTGTTGCTGCTCAGCATTTGCCAGTATCATTCGACATCCGCATACGTACATTTGTGTGTGTGTGTGTGTGTGTGTGTGTGTGTGTGTGTGTGTGTGTGTGTGTGTGTGTGTGTGTGTGTGTGTGTGTGTGTGTGTGTGTGTGTGTGTGTGTGTGTGTGTGTGTGTGTGTGTGTGTGTGTGTTTTAGCTCAGTTTCCCGGCTAGAGGTGTGCGTTCACAAATGAGAGCTGTTGCATACAGCGGTATCACGAAGGGGGGAGGGGCTAGTAGGTGCTATTTCATTTTATGTTTAATAATAATTTTTACATTTCCCATTTCTATGATAGTATTTAATTATTTAATATTTTATTATTATCTTCTGACTTTGTTCTTGTGAAGATCTTTGTGATTTTTACCTTGAGTGGTGCTACATAAAAAAACTCGATTCTTCTTCTATACATTTTTCACCGCTACGTGGTGCCCTTTGAGAAAAAACTTGGGTTTTCTGCTTTAAGTGTCACAACTTGGGTTAAACTGGAATTTTTACCTCATACTGGCCATATCCGGAAAAGGTTTGTGTTGGGATGTATTGATCTCCCAGTCTCGCATTTTCCACATCTCCATTTCTTCTTGGATCTGCAGTGGGTCAACAAAAATATGTATACCAACTGGGTGAAAATTTGGCACAATTTTGAGAGGGCCTCTAAAAACCCAGTCATTGATAAATACATGTACATTTTTCCCATAGAGCCTTTTTACACCAATTATTAGACACAAAATGGGCACCGCATCAGGTAATTCTAGCTGGTTTTGTTCCCCTGGGACTCTGGGCTTGATTGTTCATGTTGGATGGGGGTGTCCTGGGGCTCAGGACCTCTGGGTTAAAGGTACTTTGTTGTATTACTGATTTGAATGGTGTCCCTCTCCCATTGGATCCTGTTCACGAACTATTTGATGACTCACGGATACCACGTTCAAAGATAACCTGTAGATTGCAGGATTGACTGCAATGGAGACAAGCAAAGATGGAAACCACCAAGTATATATAGACATGGCCTGTATATATACTTCAGATACTATGGCTATAACTTCTAGGATGGACTGCATAGGTAGCCTTAAGATACTTCTCGCCAGCTGGAGTGGGGTGTACTGACTAGTGGACATGGGGGACGAAGTAGGGAGAGTAGGTTTGAATTGTTAACGTTATACAAACAGGAAGTTGGTTGTCGAGTGTTTGAAATGTTCCGGTATTGTTGAAACTTACTATTAATAAAACATTTGACAAAAAAATATAAAACACAAGATCATAGAAACAGAATAAGCATTCTATTAAATGCAATTTTTTTTTTTTTTTTTTTTTTTTTTTTTTTTTTTAAACCAGATCAAGTAAAAAAGCCTATAAAAAGGTGCTATTATACAATATTACTGTGTGATGCTGGACGTTCCTGGTGTCACTCACCTTGCCAAGTTCTTAACTTCCCACTACTGCTCATGATGGACTGTAGCTGGTAGCTTCTCTGTGCCAACATTAAAAACTATTTATACAAACTGGATTCATAAACTCAATACAATGAAAGAAAAGAGTCAGTTCAGAAAAATCAAACAAATACCAAACCGGGACTGTTTGTCGTTTTAACAAAGATCTCTATTTAAAGATCAATTATTTATAAATGATGAGGAGGAAAAAAAGTTTTGGGATTTGGAAGCAGACCAAACTACCACCTTGAGCAGAGGCTGTGGTGCACCATAAGCTGGTCTAGCGTCTCTGATTACATTCAAATGAGATTCAGACTCTCGTGAATTGAGAGGCTGCTGTCCAACAGACATGCAAAGACTTGCCTACAACAAGAATATAATGAAACTGAATGTGCAGTTAATCTGAAAAGACAAGCTTCCATTACAATAATGTTCATGTTATGCTTTTTTGTTTAGTTGACAAAGTTTTTTTTCTGAAAAGCTACAATTGCACGTGTGTAACCCCATCAACTACTTTATAATCCGTGCCCAAGTCCGGTTCCTGCCCCAGTTCAGGAAATCTAATTAAACTTATTTTGAATTGATTGGGCAATCACCTGGAAGTAGTGAGAAGGGTCTCGTAGGTTCATTAGCAGTGCCAAGTGGAGCTGACTGGCACAGTTGCTGCGCACGGTCTAATCAGCTTCTTCCATCATATGCAGCGACGTGCTGGGAAACGAGAGCCTGCCAGAACCAGGCGCACAGGAGAGATGTCCGCCTGCCAGCCAAGGCGTCATTATTACTGAGAGTGGTTGCTCTTTATATCCGTTGTTGTGTGCTACACTGTGCCGAGCATACTCAAGAAATGCAGTTTTTATCCATGCGGGAAGGAACTTCGAAACAGCAAGTTGAACTTCTAGTCAACTAAGTAAACTTTTTCTTCTATTGCTGCGTGGGGAAATGAACCGTCATGACATCTTCCATGGCAGCGTGGAATGGGACTGATGAGAAGGCGCTGCAAAGAGGAAATTCCTTTCCTTGAGAAGATGTTTACAGTAAAAGATGCAGAACCAGACCCACCGTTCCACTCAATGAACTAGTCACCACCCTTCCTCTCACACGAAACATTGAGCCACTTCAAAGCTGAGACGACTAAGGAGCAGCTTCTTCGTTGGCGGGTGTGAGGCTCATCTCCCTTAAGTGGTTCTTTGTTTACTATATGATTTTATCTGTTTAATAACTTAAGGTGGTCCATTTTTTTCGGTTGGTCTCAGTAACACGTTTTGTTTGGCCGTGTCGCTAACGTGCCGTTAAATATTCATGAGTTAGCCTGAATCTAAAAAACATATCGAAAAAGTCTGAATCTGAAGTGAGCAATGTCCAACCAAACCTCCATTCATCCATAAATACCCTAAGCCACTGCCGCACTGGGATGGCATTTTAAACTTGTGTAAAATAAGTCCAATGTTCTAAAAAACTTGCATTTTTTTTACAGTTTACTTATCCAAATTGGCAAGCAATTATTCAGAGATCCATTATTTCTACTTATTTGATAATATTAATAATAATAATAATAAACACAAAGGTCCACATTAGTGCCTGCTGGTCCAATACCAGTGCGTATTTATGAGTTAGCCTGAATCTAAAAAACATATCGAAAAAGTCTGAATCTGAAGTGAGCAAACAAACTGGTGTGTATTTATTAAAGTGGCAATTCCTTGCATGCCCAACCAAACCTCCATTCATCCATAAATCCTCACTTCCTGCCTTTTTCTTCTTATTTGCGCTGCTGTGGGTGGCTGCATGTTGGAGTAGCTCTATTGACTATATGTAAGTTTTGCCTTTTCTTGGGCATTTTTTCTTCTAGTGTCTCAAGAAAAACGGTATTTTTTTGGACACTTTACTTTTCTGTTTCTGGTGCTGTGAAGCTTAAAGGATTTTTACTGCTATTGTTTAGCTTTTTTCACTTTTTGAGCATTTGTTATGATGCGTAACCATGGCAACACGCTGGTTTACAACGGGGAGCAGCTGATTAACATTGAAAAGGCTGAAATAATACCTCAACTGAAGCCACAAATCCCAAATAAACTAAAACGCAAGAAGCGTGGATGCAGAGCGGGAGCAAAACGGAGACAGAGAAAGAGGAAATTCAAACCATCTCTTCCATCGATCATAATGGGCAATGTGAGATCACTGGCCATCAAGATGGAGGAACTCCAAGCTCTTTCAAGGACTCAGCCAGAGTTTCGGCAGTTTCGGAACCACTGGAGGAGATAATGCAAAGAAGCATTCTCCAGAGAATCAAGAAAATGATGGACAACCGTGAGCATTCTCTTCACAAGACTGTCCGACAACGGAAGAGTGTCTTCAGTCAGAGGCTTCTTCAGTTTTGCTGCAACACTACTGGAGATCTTTCCTGCCAACAGCCGTTGTAATATACAATAACTCTTTGATGACTTGATTATTATTATTATTCTGAGCTACTACAGCAATCAATTTCCCTCTGGGATTAATAAAGTATTTTTGAATTGAATTGAATTTGAATTGAATTGAATAAAGGACATCTACAGGAAGCGGTGTCTGAAAAGGGCTAGGAAAATCATCATTAGCTGTATTGACCCTGCTGCCCTCTGGGAGGCGCTACAGAAGCCTCCGGACTAAGACCACCAGGTACCGGAACAGTTTCTTCCCCACAGCTGTCAGACTCCTGAACTCTGCCTCCTGACATATAACCCACGTTAAACTCATGGACTGCTTGTATTAACTACAGCCTGTACATACTTACAGTTATAGAATATTCATAACATACTTCATACCATGTACATTATAACATACATAATAGATCCATTTCTGTAATATACTTACACATCTATATTATTGCTAACATATATTGTAATACCATGTTGTTGTTCCTTTTTAAGAATTATATTGTAATACATCTATATCACGGCTAAAACACTTTCTGGATGGATGCAAACTGCGTTTTGTTGCCCTGTACCTGTACATGTGCAATGACAATAAAGTTGAATTATATTCTATTCTATATTTAGTTTGAAAAAGGCCCACATTTCTTCTTTACTGATTTCCAAAGGTGAACCAAACTAAATACATTTTAACTTACAGATAAACCTTACAATACTGATCTAAAGTAACCCATGAACAAATTCTTAACAAGATTCTAATTAATGAAATTTTATAAATAAAAAACTCCAACATTTGCATCCGTGTTGCCTCGTTTTAGGTTTTAAGACTATATAAATACCTTCCTGTCACCTGGGGGAATAGTTTTTAGTAATTTACATTTACACTGGGAATTCTGAATGTACTTGAGTTCACATTTGCAGCTTTTTTTCCTTCTACAGAATAATCAGTGTGTTGCATTTTGACGTGTGCTTGGACAGATGATCAAAAGTAGAAGTACTTAAACGTAACACCAAAAAAACATCTCTTTTCCTAATGAGCACCAGCTGGTTTGATCAGACAACAACGCATAGAACAGTTTGTACAGCTCTTTACTCTCATCACTGTAGTTGATAGCAGACGTCTCATGCATCTACCCAGGTAAGAACATCTCACACTTCCGGACACAAATGAATTAAACCCAAACGCACCTTGTTGTGGGCATCTGTGTGTCGGATTACATTCCGCAACAACGTCTTCCCCATCGGCTGCTTAGACATTGTGAAACCTGACATGAGAGACACAAAAGCCAAACACACACGTGACCGGTCATCAGTGGATAACTGTAACTACGCTTGGAGCGCGCAACAACAACACACTTCATTGATTGAGAGCTCATCAAGTTCTCAAACGCTACTCACACGTTAGCTTTGCTAGCTTAGCTACCGCCGTTTTGGTGAAAATACAACAAAATAAACACGTTTCTAATCTATTCGGCACCGTTATTATTAGGATAGGACACGTTAACCACCACACGTGTTTACTATCTAATTGTAAATGAGTCAAAAACTGTACCTTTCAGGAGCGAGTAGCAAGCAAACAGAAGAAAAACACAGCTTTGTTTTTAGCTGTACTTCCGCTGCGTCACCGAATGTGGGAGAAACTTTATGCTGATTGGGCCGATGGCTTGTCAATCATTCCGAAAGCAAACAGTTTTGACTCGTGAAAACATCATGAAACTGGGATAGCAATGATACTTGTAGTTTAATTGTGTTTGTTCGGTGGATTTTTAAAGTTAACACATTTTTTAATGGTACCAAAAATCGTTGAAAATGCTTCAATTAAAATCTGGTATTTCAAGAATTTGAAAGGTTTGGGAGGTTGACTGTTACAAACTTTACAAAACTACTTTTAATCCAAAGAGCAGTCACCCCAAATCAACTTTTTCTGCTGATAAGTTATATAAATGAGGGTCTAATTGTGCTGTAGACGCGTGTAAGCAATAATTTGGCACTTTGGTGCATCTTAGTTAAAACTGAACTATTCTGCCTAAAACATTTGATTTTAAATATGCCATTCCAGAACGACACTGCTCTGGGTGGCTGCATGCTGGAGTAGTTCTGTTGACTATATATAGGTTTTGCCTTTTCTTGGACATTTTTGCTTCTAGTTTCTCAAGAAAAACGGTATTTTTTGCACATTTTACTTTTCTGTTTCTGGTGCTGTGAAGCTTAGAGTATTTTTACTGCTATTTTTTAACTTTTTGAGCATTTGTTATGATGCGTAACCATGGCAACAAGCTGGTTTACAATCGGGAGCAGCTGATTAACATTGGAAAGGCTGAAATAATACCTCAACTGAAGCCACAAATCCCAAATCAAAGTCAAAGTCATTTATTGTCATTTCTACCACATGTGCAGGACATACAGAGAAACGAAATTGAGTTTCAGCGCACACAATTCAAAGATCAGACATACATGGGTAAGACACATGACAAGAATTGGTGACTGCGGTCGTTCGCAACATGAGTCGCGCTACCTTAATAGATAGATGAAAAGGGTGTTACATGAGGATAATTGGGGGTAAGGTAAAAAAAAAAGGCATAGCAGAGTTAGACCCCGCAGGGAGTAACTCTATTATACAAAAAAAAACCTCCTCAAACATATAAGCAAAAACAGCACAGATACAAACATCAGAGTCCGATGGCGAGGCGGGGTTGGGCGGGATCCTGAAGCCTCCAATGGGAGCTGCCACTGCGGCGCATCGACCAGCTGCAGACAAACAGGTGGGAGGGAGAGATAAGGAACAGAGAGCACATTGAGTTTCCCGCAGACGTCTCAGTCTGAAGGAAGAGGGTGAAGGTCGGGACACAGCATCTGTCGGCATTCCTCCTTTCGTGGGGGTGAGTTGAGGCAGCCTTGAGAGGCTGCTATGGCGTCAGATAAGGATAACCATGACTTTGTTTGGGGCAGGCAGAGATAATTTTTCTCTCTGCCTTAGAGTCTATAAGTGGTCATTCATGTCCACCAGTGAGCCAATTATACGTTCTAAACATCCCCACATCGTCCGGCGACCCTCTCCGAGATGACATCCATCTTGCGTACTAATACAGGCAACGCCGCGAGGACATTATCCAGCTTACGGTTCACCTCGAGTAACATCCCAGTCTGTGAGGTCACGGCGCATTCCATGGGCGTGGGTCGCACTCCAATCGCTCCCGTCTTCCCAAATTTCCAGAAAACCAGATATCCTCCCACTCCAATCAGAAGAAATCCAGTGATCATCAGGCCGAACATCCACAAATCTTCCACGTCCTCGATGGACAACTGAGAAAGGCACACGATTCGCCAGACCTCCCAAGAATCAAGTGCATATCCTGCTGCGAATGTCCCCTCAGGACAGGTGGGAGCCCCCTTCTCCGTTCTCATCGTAGAAAAAATTTTATCAATCGCGTTGAATGACTAATTAATTAGGTCCATATTTCCAAAAAGAGTAGTGGTTTCAGGAGAAATGCAGAGAAGTGCTCTGTAGGCTGACAGGACAAGAGCCTTGGGAAAAACAGATGAGGGAGCTGAGAAAAAAAGCGTCTGTACTCTCTGAAGGCTGGAGAAGAGAACGAGCTAAAACGCAAGAAGCGTGGGTGCAGAGCGGGAGCAAAACGGAGACAGAGAGAGGAAATTCAAACCATCTCTTCCATCGATCATAATGGGCAATGTGAGATAACTGGCCAACAAGATGGATGAACTCCAAGCCCTTTCAAGGACTTAGCCAGAGTTTTGGCAGTGCAATGTTGTGTTTCACTGAGACATGGCTGCATGACCATATCCCCAATTCCAGCGTCTCTCTGCCAGGATTCCTGACTGTACAAGCAGACAGAGATCTGAAGAGGAGCGGGAAAAGAAAAGGAGGTGGAGTGGCAGGGCTTGTCAACAACAGATGGAGCCATCCAGGTCATGTTTCAGTGAAATGTCGTCTCTGTAGCCCGATGTTGAACTCTTGGCAGTAAGTTGTCACCCATATTATTTGCCAAGAGAGTTCACCAGCGTTGTCTTGGCAACCTTTTATATTCCACCTTCAGCCATTGCTGAAAATGCATGTGATGCCATCAGAACTGTTGTCGCTAAGCTACAAACCCAGCACCCCAATGCATTTGTGGCTATATCTGTGATTTTAATCATGCCACGCTCTCTGCTACACTTCCAACATTTCAACAGTTTGTCAGCTGCTCCACCAGAGAAAACAAGACATTGGATTTGTGTTATGCAAATGTAAAGAATGCATGCATGTCCAAAACAAGACCTCCTCTGGGAAAGTCAGATCACAATCTTGTTTTTCTCTGCTCAGAATACAAACCTCTTGTTCAGAGGCAACCTGTGACAAGAAGAACTGCGAGAAAATGGTCACAGGATGCTGAATAAGCCCTGCAGGGTTGTTTTGAGACCACAGATTGGATGACTCTCTGCCAAGGTTATGAAGAGGACATCAATGCCATGACTGGATGTGTCATTGACTATATAAACATCTGTGTGGACAACATCATACCCACCAGAACAGTGAGATGCTTCACTAATATCAAACCCTGGATCACCAGTGAACTGAAGAATCTGATAAAAGAGAAAAAAAGAGCCTTCAAGGAGGGAGACAAGGAATTATTGAGGAGTATACAGAAGCAACTGAAGACCAAGATCAGAGACAGCAAGGAGGCATACAGGAAGAAGTTGGAGAACATACTACAGAGGAACAATATTAGAGATGTCTGGTCAGGGATGAAGAAGATCACAGGCTTCAAGCAGAGAAAGGATTGCACAGATGGCAGCATGGACACAGCCAATGAACTGAACAAGTTCTTCAATAGAGCTCCAGGAGTTGACGTCACTTCTCCCGGCATGCAACAGTTCAAATCGAAACGGCGCCATATTGGCAGGCAGAAGCCCACAGCTGGACTATTTGTTATTGTCAGAAAACTCAATCAAATAGGAAATATGGTAGATTCCTGTTGTGCCCCAGGATGCCAGAACAGACACGGACAACATAAGGAATGAGCCATCTACAGGATTCCCCAAGATCCTTAGCGCGGCAATAATTGTCATAAAACGCGCTGGTGACTGGGCTAAAATGAAGCTGTGGGATCCCGGGAGTAAAGGTTTTCGCTTATGCAGCGACCACTTCATATCAGGTACTTAACCCGTTTCCTCAACTGTGTATGGTATTTATTTTAAATGCTTTTATTATGATTCTTAGTGGGCTTCCTAAACTTATTTTGGCATGGCTTTTTCTGTCTTGTTACTCATAGCAACAAGTAAACATCACGTAAAACGTTGCCTCGTGAGTTCTGCGTGCTGCCGTTTACGTGTTTTATGATCACAGCAATTAACCGGCTAAGCTGTATTTAATTTTTAAGCAATGGTTGATCAATTGTCAGATCACACATAAAAATCACTTTGGATTGCTATTATCTGTCTCACCGAGACAGATCTCAGACAGATCCTGAGACGCTCCTGCCTGACATATTTATTTTATTCACGGAAAAAAATCAAACTAGTGATTTCTCTTGGCGTTCAATTTATACATTCAAACAGCAGAGCACTCTGTTTAAACTACTTACATGTAAATCCTACACGTAAATCTATGTTATTTGTCCATCCATCCATCCATCCATAGGCGTCATTTTAACCGGGGACGCCGGGGACATGTCCCCGGCAAAATTTGTGATTGGCAGCTGTGTCCCCCCCACTTTCAAAAACGCCTGCTGATGAGGATTTTTGTTTTACCAGCTCAGATCTTATCCAGGGGTCGGCACCCTGTTCCCATCAAAGAACCATTATTACCCGTTTCCCACGGTAATTTTGGACGGACCTTAATAAGCAGTGACTTAAGTGAAGCAGGCAGGTCGCGCTAGAAAATTTCGTTTAAAAAGATGTCATAAATGTGTTCCCCCGTCATTTTTATTACTAAAATATGAAGTAAAAACTCACAATTTAATTTTCATTCATTTGTCATTAATATGTAGTCTACACCCGTGCGTTAAGTGGACCATCTTCCAGTAAACGCACAGCATCCAGTCCACCTCTCCAAATGCGTAAAATGTGCATCAGCCGCTAGTTAGGCGCACGCGCACCATCAGCTGATCAGCCCAGACAAGAGCAGAGCGACTAGAGAAAGACTAGAGGATAATTGTGTCTGGATGTGGATGGAGATTACATTTTACAGCAGCCTGATCATCATTTAAATACGTAAACCATCACCTGTCTTCTAGTCCACGCTATCAGCATTATTTTATATTTTAATTGGTGTGTGTGTGTGTGTGTGTGTGTGTGTGTGTGTGTGTGTGTGTGTGTGTGTGTGTGTGTGTGTGTGTGTGTGTGTGTGTGTGTGTGTGAGTGAGTGAGTGAGTGAGTGAGTGAGTGTGTGTGTGTGTTTTCCACTTCAAACACTGGTCTAACCAACCAGACCAGCGTGTCCAGTAACACATTAATGTTACAATTAAACAGTTTCACTTCATGTAGGCTAGGAACATTTCACCTGCCGTGGCCCGACCGCTTCTGCTCCACATAAACTTTGTGCGTGATCAAATGTCTCTACGCTTCATGCGGAAGATGGGAACAAGCGCTGTTCAGCCAAAGTTTCATAATTTCATAAAAAGAACATTTTCCAAGTGACACATCCCTCAGAGAGACCGGG